TATATATATATATATATATATGCAATAAATTTGAGGAGAACAATCATCAATGAAATCGTGCTAGTATACATTTTATCTAAGAATGTCACTAGTCATTTCTCTTTTATCCCCTTATATATCATCACTTTTCAATGCCACACCATTTCCCATTTCATATTTCTCACGACTAATTCTTACGTGGTTCTAAGGTCCATTCTCATTTTGTAGTCTTTAGTGTATTGACATAATAAAAGAATTTGGCCTTTTTCAAAACAAAAAAACGTCCACTTGCTAGTCTATGAAAAGTGTGAGAAGGTCTATATTTCACATTTAAAATTTAGGACCATGGAAGAACAACTCTTTCATCACTCCACTATAATCATTTTGAACCAATAATCGTTTTGGATGCCTTTAATGATGAGCATTGCTCTATAGGAATGCAAAATGAGCTTAACCAATTCAAACACAATGATGTTTTGGAATTAGTGTCTAGACCTAATGAACATTCTGTTATTGGCACAAAATGGGAGTTTCATAACAAACTCGATGAAAATTGAGTAATCACTATAAATAAAGCTAGGCTCGTAGCTAAAGGCTAAAATCAAGAAGAAAGTATTGATTATGAAAAAACATATGCACTGGTTGCACGTTTAGAAGCTATGCATTTATAACTTGCTTATGCATCTAAAATCGATTTTAAACTCTATCAAATGGATGTTCTTCCTTTATGGTTTCATTCAAGAGAAAGTGTATGTCAAACAACCCCCATGTTTTCAAGACCATGAGTATCCCAAACATGCCTTCAAACTGAGAAAGGCGTTTTACAGTCTTAAACAAACTATACTCCATGAGCTTGGTATGAATGTTTAAGAAAATTTCTTTTGGACCCTAAGCTGAAACGAGGTCAAGTCGACACTACCTTTTTCATCAAGAATGATAAGGAAGAGATCCTTTTGGTTCAAGTTTAGGTAGATGATATCATATTTGGTGCTACTAACGAATATTTGTGCAGGAATTTTTTTTAAAATGATGCAAAGTGAGTTTAAGATTTCTATGATAGGTGAACTTAAATTTTTCCTTCGGCTACAAATTAAACATTGCAAAGAAGGGATATTTATTTGTCAAACAAAGTATTGTAAGAAATTGCTAAGGAGATTTGACTTTGCCGACTCAAAATCCATTGACACACTAATGAGCACCTCATGCTATCTTGACAAGGACAAAAAAAGGTAAAGAGGCAGACGTCAAATGCTACCGAGGTATGATCAACACTCTACTTTACCTTACCGCGAGTAAACCAGATATCATGTACTATGGTTGTATGCGTGTTAGGTATCATTGTGGTCCTAAAGAATCACACTTGGCTGCGATTAAAAGGATAATGAGATACATGAATAGATTTTCTTTTTAGGTATTAGATTGCATAATGAGAGATGTTATGAGGTTCTCTTATAATAACCTCAAAAATGAACGATTTCGAGGGAAAATAGTTGTACTCAGACGTGATTTATCCAAATTTTTTCAGTTTTACTTAAAGCTTTGAGAGAGGAAATTGTAGGTGCTACCTCCAATTCCTCAAAAATATGGTTATATTGTAAAGTTTATACTTTGACAAAGAATATGAGATTGCATTTATCTACACCCTTTTGCATAGATAGGGACACACAAGCTTTTTTGATTAGATAATCAAAGTCGTAGATGGAAAATTTAGACAAGTGATTGATGAAACTGATGAAGTTGAAATCCCGCCTGAAAATCTTGATTCTTGACAAAAGTTATCCCCTTAGAAAGTCAGAGGTATAATGGACTTCACTTATCCAAACCTATTAGAGAACATGAAATATTGTTCTTTTTTTAGGATTGTGCATTATTAACACTCACCCTCGAGTTTGTTGAATGGTAAATGAATTTGTCTTATCCAATATTTAGGAGGTGAAAAGGAGTAGTTAATTTTTTATTCTTCATGCCAAACAGATTCAGTTATAGCTGTTAACGACGATTGAATAAGAATTGAGTTTTATAATGAAAGCAAATGTTCGGTGATCCCTGAAGAATGAATATTTTCACATGAATTATTATGGGAGATTACATGTGTATATATACAAAGGTTTCCTAATGATAATAGGAAACAATATTAAATGCACCCTATACAATTATGGTAGCTACCAATATACATAAATATTAAATATACTAAGAATATATTTAACATGCTCCCAACGGCACTGACGAAGATCGCCGCACGCCCAGACAGTCTCGAAATTCAGAGAAGATCATGGAGGGTAGTCCCTTGGTGAAAATGTCTGCATACTGCAAGGAAGAAGGCACATGAACTACACGTATCTGACCAAGGGCTACTCTGTCACGTACAAAATGAATGTCGACCTCAATGTGCTTCGTGCGCTGATGCTTGACGGGATTGGCCGAAAGGTAGAAAGCACTGATGTTACCACAGAAGACTAGTGTAGACCGTGTCAGGGGTTGCCGGAGTTCTAGAAGAAGATTGCGTACCCAACTAACTTCAGCGACAGCACTAGCAACAGCTCGATATTCTGCCTCGGCACTGGATCGAGAGGTGGTGAGTTGTCGCTTAGAAGACCAGGAGATAAGATTGTCGCCTAGAAAAATACAGTAACCGGATGTCGAGCGACGAGTATCTGGGCAGCCAGCCCAATCAGCATCAGAGTATGCCCGCATGTGATCCGTCAGAGAAGATGATATGGTGATGCCATGGGTAGGTGTACCGTGAAGATAGCGCAAGACGCGCTTCATGGCTGTGACGTGTGGCACACGAGGATCATGAAGAAATAGACAGAGCTGGTGTGCGGCATAGGTAATATCTGGACGAGTGAATGTGAGGTACTGCAGTGCTCCCACAATAGAGCGATATAAGGAGGGATCTGGCGCTGGAGGACCAACAGTGGCTGAGAGCTTTCCTCGGGTGTCGACTGGAGTAGAAACAAGTTTGCACGAGGTCATGCCGGACCGTTCGAGGATGTCATAGATGAACTGAGTCTGAGTGAGAAACAGGCCGTGAGAGGTCCGCTGGACATTGATCCCAAGAAAGAAGTGAAGATCACCCATATCTGTCATAGCAAATTCCCCCTTTAGTCGTGCAGTGAGCTGATGTAGAAGAGCAGTAGATGAGGCGGTGAGGACAATGTCATCAACATAGAGCAGTAGTAGGGCCATGTCCTGACCGCGGCTGTAGACAAACAACGAGGTGTCGCTCATGCACCCACTGAAGCCAAGAGATAGGACAAATCCCGTGAATCGCTGGTACCATGATCGGGGGGCTTGTTTGAGTCCATAAAGGGCCTTGTTTAATTTGCAGACATAATGGGGACTCTGTCACGTACAAAATGAATGTCGACCTCAATGTGCTTCGTGCGCTGATGCTTGACGGGATTGGCCGAAAGGTAGAAAGCACTGATGTTACCACAGAAGACTAGTGTAGACCGTGTCAGGGGTTGCCGGAGTTCTAGAAGAAGATTGCGTACCCAACTAACTTCAGCGACAGCACTAGCAACAACTCGATATTCTGCCTCGGCACTGGATCGAGAGGTGGTGAGTTGTCGCTTAGAAGACCAGGAGATAAGATTGTCGCCTAGAAAAAATACAGTAACCGGATGTCGAGCGACGAGTATCCCGAAGGCTGAGCGGTGTAGACAGTATCCGAGAGGTAGCCCTGCAAGAAAGCATTTTTGACGTCGAACTGATGGATCGGCCATCCTCTGGACACGGCAAGGCTCAAGACGATGCGTATAGTGGCCGGTTTGACAACCGGGCTGAAGGTCTCGTCGTAGTCGATGCCATGGCGTTGATTGAACCCACGAACAACCCATCTAGCTTTGTACTTGGACAGTTCACCTGTGGGGCCAAGTTTGTGGCGGAAGAGCCATTTACCGGAGATAACATTTTGGTTGGGGGAGGGGGGTACTAAATCCCATGTATGATTAGCTATCAAGGCATTATATTCATCTAGCATAGCATTGTACCAATTAGGATCTTTGAGAGCACTACGGTAGGTAGGGGGTAAGGGGGAGATGGATGCAATGGTGTTCAGGTTTAGGATTTGTTTGGGGCAAAAGACGCCGGCTTTGGACCGGGTGACCATGGGATGGGAGGGGGCTGTCGGG